TATTTCTATCTATCTGTTAATTTATCTTTTATTCTGTATTTCTATTCATCTGCAGGTACCCCTGGGGTTGAGGCTCTGGAGCTGAACGGTCAGACCGTCAACTTTGGTAGAACAGGTCCTGCAGCTCCTCAGGTCAGCTATAACATCAACCTTAATTATACTGAAAAGCAGTGCTTAAAATCCGGATCCGTTGGATCCGCTAGATTTTGGCTTTCTGGATCCGGATCCGCAAAAATAGGAACAAAGCCAACAGGTCAGCTAAGCAAATGCAATTTAGGATTTTAGAACCAAGGTCAAAAAAGAAATAACTAGGAGCATTAAAGATTCAGAAAAAAAGGAACAATACAATAATACAAATTTTGAAATATAAAAATATGCAATGCTGAGCTCCAAAAATTGTGTGTTAATATGTTAGCTTGAGCCTCCTTATCTGTAACACCCTGAGATTCAGCTTAAAATAATAAAAAAAAAATTTAAAAAACATGTTTCAATTGCCATATTTTATCTATCTCCGGCCAAACTTTAACAACTTTAGAGAGTTGAATCAAAAATGAAAAACTTAAATTGACCCCCAGGGTCCATCAGATTTACTCCTACGCAAGAGGTCGTTTTTTATGCCGAGGGGATTCTTTTTTAATTACCACGGTCAATGCAGGGTATTACAGCTAGTGACATTTCATAGAACAAAATCATAGAACATTTTATAGGAAAAGAATTTCATAGATAGTTTATTTCATTGACAGGCAAGATTTTTCTTAGACATAAAAATAATTTTCATACACTGAGCAGTATTTACAAAAGTTCTTAATTCGTAAAAATTCAGAGTTAGGACATTTTATAGACGGGAAATTTCATAGACACCGTAGCATTTTCATAAATTCGTAATTATTCCTTCCTAGTTCAACATAGTTCAGCTCAATTTAACGTTTTTTCTTCAGGATTTTCCACTTCCTAGTTCAACATAGTTTAGCTCAATTTAACGTTTTTTCTTTAGGATTTTCCACTTCCTAGTTCAACATAGTTTAGCTCAATTTAACGTTTTTACTTCAGGATTTTGAACTGAGGAAAGTGTTGGGTAAAGGAGGTTACGGGAAAGTGTTCCAGGTGAAACTACGCAATCTTTATTTTTTTTTATATAAGTTAGGTTCTGTTGGTTTTTTGTTTGGTTTCAGTAAATATAAAACATCTTAACCAAAAGGGCCACATTTTTGAACGAACCTTAAGACCCAAAGAATGGTTTTCAGACTGTTGAGTTTAAAAAGTCAATCCATAAAGCTACAATTTATAGTGTTTGTTGCAGTGCTTAGGATTCCGATCCGTTGGATAAGCAAGATTTTGGCTTACTGGATCCGGATCCGCAAAAATATGCGGTTCAACGGACCCGGATCCAAGGGGCAAAATAACAACCAAAAAGTGCAAAAATAAAAAACTTTTTTACTCTCAAAACCTAAATCTGAACTATTGAAAAAAGAGAAATCAAAAAATTCCTGATTTCTGTATGGTTCATCACCTTCTAGCATAAAAATAAACAAAAAAAATGACACAATTTTTGAAAATTCTGCTTTAAATTAATTCAGTAAATCATAGAAATGACCTGGATCCGGATCCATTTTTTTCCTGTGCTGATCCAGGATCCGGATCCGCATCCACTTCAAAATTAAATGGATCCTAATCACTGGTTCATTGTTGATATTTTTTATAGTTTTTGTAGCATGGGAACTAAGCTTTGCCTGAAAACTCAACATAAAACTTTTTAACCATGCTATGAACGTTCCCGTAGTTTTACAAAGCTCCCAAATAAAGATTTAAGGAAAATCCGTTCAGGAACTCGCGGGTAATGATTGAACATAAAAAAGCTAATTTTAAAATTAGAAATCGATTTTTTTGTTACTAAAAATTTTGCGAATGGCCCAAAGTTTTTATTTTGATTGATTGATCGACTGATTGATAGACTGATTGATAGACTGACTTATTGATTGTTCGACTGATTGATTGATTGATTGATTGATTACCATTTAATTGTCCAGGTCCGAAAGTTGACTGGTGATGATAAGGGGAAAATATTCGCCATGAAGGTTTGTAAATGTTGAAAAGAACATTTTTGATAATTTAAATTCTTCCTTTTTTTTCAAAATGATCTAACAACTAATTATTTATGTAACAGCTTAAAAGAACATTTCATTTTAAGAGTTCAAAAGGGACCGAGTTATCCCCGTTTTATATCTGAAAATATAAATTTTTTTTATTTGTGGTTTATCATTCAACGTGACTTGCGGGTTTATGTTTCAGAGATGTTTAAGGACATGACCAGAATTTAACACTTTTTTCAATAGAAAAATGACGTTATTATCCTATTTTTTACTTCTGAAATTACGTCTCGAGTCCTTTAATAGTTTAAGATCCAACAGGCGCAGTAATTCCAATAGCTTTCGTAACATTAAGCTTTCTAAACTTTAGGTTCTAATTCTATTTTAGGTTCTGAAGAAAGCAACCATAGTTAGGAACTCCAAGGATACAGCTCACACCAAGGAACCAAATTAAATCATACAAAAATAAAATAGAAAAATTATTCACAAACTTTTTCGAAAGGAATTGAGTCTTTGCCACAAACTCTGATTTTCTAATCCCAATATCTTTGTAACCCATGGTCGAATACCTTAGATATTTCAAACTATAAATTCTGTAATATCAGATAATCTTAGTTTGAAATATCAAAGGTTTACATCATCAGATTTAAAAGATATAGGGATTAGAAAATTCGAGTTTGTGACAAAGACTCAATTCCTTTAGATAATCAAAATGGATTAAAATGTTTTCCCTTTGTAAGAAGTTGAAATTACACTTCGAGGTTTTTTTTCATAAAAATTCCACAATTTTTTTAATGTAATAAATAGGCAGGTATTTATTATTTTATATTCCTATAATCTCTCTGTTAATTTTAGTTAATTTGTAACATTTATGAATTATCTACTTACGTATTGACATATTAATATTTGATTTATTTAAGATGTTAATTGATTATTTAACGGTTTATTTAATGATTTAATAAAAGATGTATTTGATAAATATTTTTAGATTTATTCATTGTATTTAAAATTTTTATTAAATTTTTTGGTTGATATTTAATGATTAAATGAATGGCTGCAGGCGGAGAGAAATATTCTGGAGGCGGTTAAACATCCGTTTATTGTAGATCTTATATACGCCTTCCAGGTCATTATTATATTATCCTTTAAAGGGACTGATCCAGATTTAAGAGACTGCAACTTCAAATCTAAATATGTTTTCATAATCGACTGTCAATTTATAATTGATATATTTAGATGAGAGGGATTGTTAACTTAAAAATTAGTCTTGAAAAAGTTGATATTCTAAAATGTTAACCTTAAAAGCTAAAAGGCTGAAAGGTACTGTCCCCTATTATTTTGACATTTTAGATTTTATAGGACTGTCAATATAAAAGCGAATTTAACTTGTTTTTTTTTTTAGGGATTGTAAATTTTAATCTAAGGAGAATTCCTTAAGTTATCTGTTTCGATAAACTAATGAAGATAATGAATATGACAGACTGATAATGAATTATTGTAAGGAGATATTTTAAGTTATTTTAACTATCTACTTATCTACCCAAATAATTAGCTTTATTTGAACTGCCTATTTGTAAATCTATCTATATATCTGTCTATCTATATATTTATATATATTTAAACATCTAAAATGTATATTTAAACTGAAAAAGTTGAAAATACTATATCTGTCTATCTATGTATCTATCTAGACCAAGGGTAAGCTGTATTTGATCCTGGAGTATCTAAGTGGTGGAGAACTATTTATGCAGCTGGAGAGAGATGGAATATTTATGGAGGATACTGCTTGCTTCTACGTTTCAGAGATTACACTAGCTCTAGAACATCTTCATAGACAGGTGGCAATATGACCTTTACCTTGCGCTGGACGGTGACCGTGATCTAAGATAAGATAATATATCAGGATAAGATAATGGCATTGACCATGAACATGTGACCTTTACTTTTTTCAGGATAAGATAATGACCTTGACCTTGATTAGGATAAGAGCATAGGCCATACATGATGAAAGGCCATGGCCATGATCATTGACCATTACTTTAAACAATGGCTCGTGACTGCGACCTTGAACTTTACGGTGACGATGAGAAGGATATTATAACGAACTTGGCCATAAACATATGACGACGAGGATTATAATAATGATAGTGATGATGATGATGATGATATTCTTATTCTCAACTACGTCTGTGAAGTTTAAACCCCTTTTTATGGTTAAACGAGTGTTGGATTTATGAAATTTAAGAATTTAAACAATCTTGGTAAATATTTAACTTTCAATCTCTGGCAATATTTGATCAAAATTCACCCCAAGAACAAATCTACAATTCTGAACCGAAAACTGAATCAAATTCATTAAATTTTTAAGAATGTTTATATAAGCATAATTTGTTAGTAAACACTATGTACAGGAACGCCCTAACTTACGCAGAAGTAGTGTGTGTTTACAGTCTAAAAAGACTTTGTTGCAAAAAAAGAGAAGGGTTAATTGCTTCCTAAAGATTAAGAAGCAGATAAACAAAGAAGTAAATTAAAACCAAGCAATGAGGCAGTTTTTTCTGGTTATTTCTAGATATTTGTTGTATACATTTAAACTTTATATTTGCACAACTTTTCATCATATAACGCCATTAAAAAGTGTCACACGTCGTGGAGTCTTAACCAGAGTTTTTACTTTCCTTAATTCTGATATTAAAGATTCTGAATTTTAGGTGACGCACACTTTCTGTGGAACTATAGAGTATATGGCTCCAGAAATATTAACCAGACTTGGACACGGAAAGGTAAGCGTCTGTCTGTCTTTCTATCTCTCTATTTATTGACCAGATAACCTAAATCCGAGATTTTTTATTACTCTTTGATGTAGAGCAATAATGTTTTAACCGATATTTTCCAACCCTTTAATTGAACTTAATTTCAGTGCTTTTGATCTTTTTCATTTCATCTCTTTTTTATCAGTTCAGATTTGGGTTTTTAAAGCAGAAAGTTTTTTTTATAGTTTTTGTTGATAAATTACCCTTGGATCCGGATCCTAAGCATTGCTTGATTTAAATTTAGCATATATTAAGCTTACCGAAAATGGCTCTAATATCAACCAACCAACCTACAAACCAACCTACCTACCCTCCTACCTACCTACCCTCCTACCTACCTACCCTCCTGCCTACTTACCCTTCTACCTACCTACCCTCCTACCTACCTACCCTCCTACCTACCTANTACCTACCTACCTACCTACCTACCTACCTACCTACCTACCTACCTACCTACCTACCTACCTACCTACCTACCTACCTACCGACCTACCTACCTACCTACCTATCTACCTAGGCTGTGGACTGGTGGAGTCTAGGTGCTCTAATGTATGACATGTTGACCGGTGCTCCGCCCTTTACTGCTGAGAACAGGTCTAAAATACATTACAAGACAATTTTCAGCAAAAATAAGAATTTACTTAGAATTTGTTTGTTTTTGTTTTCATTGCATTCTGTTGTACATACAGTCATAATCAGAAAGATTCGGAATGAAATGACAGTTAATCAGACAACTTGACGTATATATCTCTGGTAATTTTTAGCGCACATAAAAGGCAGACCATATTTTGAAAATGGCAGGACCAGGGCTATTTCATGCGAATTGTATCATCAATCATAATTGTAAAATTAGATTGTAGAGTCGTCTGATTAATTGTAATTTAATATTTTAATTCCGGGTCTTTCTGAGTATGACTGTAGTAAGAAATTCCTGCATATAAAGAAAGCACACTCGTCCCACCACACTCTGTTCAATCTTGCAAACACATCATAAACGTTTTAAAGAATAAAAGAACAGCCTTTGCCGCTCTTATGCAATAGAAGACTTAACTTTATTGTGACCATTGAAATTAACTTATAACAAAGACGATTTCGTTTTTGTACCTTGCAACCAAATGGGTTATGTTAGGTCACAAAATGTGTTCTTTAATATTAATATTTATTCAATTTGTTTCGGAAGGAAGTTTTATTTTAAAATTTATCATTCATTTGTTCATTAAACTAAATTGATTTTAACCCTGCAGGAAGAAAACCATTGAGAAAATTTTGAAAGGAAAATTGAATCTTCCTCCTTACCTCACACCGGATGCAAGGGATCTTATCAGGTACTATTTCCGGTTCTATATTCTCAATTTCCGGTTCCGGTGGATTTGAATTTTTCTGCCGGTCTATAATTTAAACATTTCCTGGATGGTGTAAAATCAAAAATATTTTTTTTTTAAATTAGGGAGTCAGTTTAAGGAGCTCTCAAACGAATATGTTTAATTTAGGAAGCTCTTAACCTTTACATATTTTAGGATGCTTCTAATCCAATAAATTTATTTTCAGAAAGCTTCAAAATATAAAACGAATATCTTTATGTTTAGGAAGCTAGTTTTAACCTATTTCTATTCAAGAAGCTTCTAAATTATTGACTTTAATTTTAGGAATCTGTTAAATATTTGTTTTGTGTTCAGGAAGCTGCTAAATATTTGTATTTGTGGTTAGGAATTTGTTAAATATTTTTACTTATGTTTAGGAAGCTGCTAAATATTTGTATTTGTATTTAGGAAGCTGCTAAATATTTGCATTTTTTTAGGAAGCTGCTAAATATTTGTATTTGTGTTTTGGAATCTGCTAAATATTTGTATTTGTGTTTAGGAAGCTGCTAAATATTTGTATTTGTGTTTAGGAAGCTGCTAAATATTAGTATTTGTGTTTAGGAAGCTGCTAAATATTTGTATTTGTGTTTAGGAAGCTGCTAAAGCGTCAGATTAGTCAAAGGTTAGGTTCCGGACCCGCAGATGCAGATCCTATTAAGGTTTAAATATTGAATATTAACTAGTAGTAACTAAATATTAAAGAGAGAGTTCTAAAATTTTCACAAGGGGTCAAGGATAAAAATAATTGTAACGGGACTTTATTTCAATGTATTAAACAGGTATTGGAAAACCTGCATTAATCCAAAACGATGATTTTGATATCCACATTGGAAACTTTTATAATAAGTGCTTCAATCGCGCTGCTATTTCTTCTTGACCGACAACAGTTATTTCATGGCTTCTGATCAGCCAGGGAATAATCTTTCTATAACAAGACTTAGATCAAACCAGAGCGATATTATTTCATAATTTGATTTTTGTTTACAGGCACATCCATTCTTCAAACATATTAGATGGGCGGACGTGATCTCGAGGAAACTAGACCCTCCTTCAAAGTAAGATTTTTGGGAGGGTTGATTGAATATTGATTGATTTATGAATTCAGTTATGAAGTGATAAATTAAGTCGTTGAGAAGTCTTTGAGAAGTTGAGAAGTCTTTGAGAAGTTGATAAGTGATTGATAAAGTAATTGACAAGTGGTTGACAAGTGGTTGACAAGTGGTTGACAAGTGGTTGACAAGTGGTTGACAAGTGGTTGACAAGTGGTTGATAAGTGGCTTATAAGTGGTTAATAATGTTTGTTTGATTGATTGATTTGATTAATTGATTTGATTTGATTTGATTTGATTTGATTGATTGATTGATTGATTGATTGATTGATTGATTTGATGATTGATTTGATTTGATTTGATTGATTTGATTGATTTGATTGATTGATTGATTTGATTGATTTGATTGATTGATTGATTGATTATATACAGGCCTGTATTGACCGGTGATGATGATACCTCGCAGTTTGATTCAAACTTCACCAAACAGACTCCAGTGGATTCCCCCTGCGGGACAAGCCTTTCCGAGTCAGTTAATCTAGTCTTCCAGGTTAGTTAGTTCTAGTTAGTTCTTTAACAGTGAGCAGTCTTCAGTTAGGTTAATTAGAGTTTATAAGTCGTCTTCTAGGTTACATAATTAGGTATTAAATACCTGATTAGTGAGAAGTCGTTTAGGTTAGTTCATTAGATCTTTGATACTGTAGTCGGCTTCTAGGTTGGTTAATTTGTATTAAGTACCTGAGAAGTCTTTCAGATTAGTTAATTAGATCTTTGATACTTTTAGTCGGCTTCTAGGTTAGTTAATTTGTATTAAGTACCTGAGAAGTCTTTCAGGTTAGTTCATTAGATCTTTGGTACCTTTAGTCGGCTTCTAGGTTAGTTAATTATGTATTAAGTACCTGAGAAGTCTTTCATGTTAGTTTATTAGATCTTTGGTACTAGTCGGCTTCTAGGTTAGTTAATTAGGTATTAAGTACCTGAGAAGAAGTCTTTTAGCTTAGTCAATTAGATCTTTGGTACCTCAGGCCTGTTCATGGCTAAATGATTTAGTCTTCAACACCTAATCAGTTATCTAAGATAGTAATTTAAGTTTATATCACCCAAGTAGTATTCTAGACTAGTTGATTTAATCTTCAACACCTAAGCAGACCTTGAGGTTAAGATTTAAATTCTACTCCGGGAGAAACATGAAGTTGCTGAAGTATTATTATTTACATAAAATCATGGACTAATAAAACTTATTTCCGGAAATTTGTCATTTTTTTTTAAAGGAACTGACGTTGTAAGTTAAAGTAACCTTCCATTTTAATTGGAGACCAATTTACATCTTAAAATCTTTATCTGATCAAAGTGGAAGATATCGTCGTATTTGTCTTGCTTAAAAATGGCTTAATTCTAACAATTTTCACCACTGTTTATGAAGCAGAAATCCGAAAGTCAATGTTATTGATTAACCACAATTGAAAATATTCAATTTTCAAGGGGTAAATTCTCAGACCGTTGTAAATCGTACATGCCGTTTAATCTTTGTTTACAAAAATTATTGTTTGTTTACGTTTTCCTGTGTTAAGGGATTCACCTACGTGGCCCCGTCTGTTCTAGAGGATATTCAGAGGAATGATTTCAGACCCAGGTTCTAGAATTTAGACTTTTTACTTTCTTATACAATCTTTATCCTGACATATCCCCCGACCCTTCCCTTCCCCTCCTTTTTACTAATATCCCCCACCCAGCCCTACCCTTCATTTTTCCCTGACAACGTCCTACCTCTTCCTTTTCCTGTCCCCCCCCCCTGACATCCTCCATTACCCCGTCCTTTTTTCCTGACATCCCCACCCTTATTTTTAATACTTTACACCCCCCCCCTTGCCCTACCCTCTCCTTTTTGATGACATCCTCACCCTACCCTACCATTTTCTTTTTCCTGATGTTCCCCCCCCCCTAATTTTTTCCTGACATCCTCCCCTTGCCTTTCCTTCCTTTTTCCTTGACATCTGTCCTACCTTTTCCTGTCATCCCCCCTTCCCTACCCTCTCCTTTTTCCTGATATCCCTCTGCCCTAAACCCATCATTTTCCCTGACATCCCTCGGCCCTACCCTCTCCTTTTTCCTGACATCCCCCTGCACCCCCTCCTTTTTTCCTGACATCCCCCCTCCTTTTTCTTGTCCCCCCCATTCCTTTTTTCCTGACATTCCCCACTGCCATTCCCTCTCCGATTTTATTTCTCCTTTTCTTCAGTTCCTCCGAGTTCTTAAATTTAATTTGTCTAAAATCAAAATTTTTTATATGTGCAAACTTTAATTTGCTCTGTGGAGGTATGTCTCTTTATCAAATGTTGGTATTGTAGTTAAAGGTTTGAAGTGTAATGTTCTCTATAGAACATTCCCTTTAATAGAAAAGTACCACTTGAAACAGCGTCTTAAGTCTCTTAAATATCTTAGGTCGGTCAGGCGACCCAGGATTCTATCTGAAAGACCATTGGCTGGAAGTTACAGAGCAGGTTTGGACTTTTTGTAAATTTTGATAAATTACTTTCCCGCGTTTTGACTCGCAATCAGAGAAACTAGGGTTGCTTTTTAAATAGTTAAGTTTATTATCTTCTTTTATTCCCAAAATAAATATATTTTTCGTCATTTTTCAAGATATTTTTTAAACCCTCGGTCAGATATTAAAACAAATTCAAATTTCTTCATAATTGTTTTCGTTGTTGATGCCGTTGATACCGTTGATTCAGGTTTGCATCATCGATGCAATTGATTATAAAAGATGAGTTATTAGTATTATCTTGAAATTAATGCTTTGTTGTCTAGCTTATTAATCAACAAAGAACATGAAGGAACAAAGGGAACTGATTCGGAGAACATATCTTACAATTATTTTCTCAAAATACAGGAGTTCTAACAAAATACAGTGATAACCAGAAAACTCTGGAATAAGAAGTCGACTTCTAGACTCAAATTTTGACATAAAATAATCCAATTGACATAAGGAACAGCAATTGTGAAATGTAAGCAGACCCATTTCACTTAATAAGTGATTTAATTACTTGTTGGTAAAGTTATTAGCGTTGTTGCAACATCAAATGCACTTTAATGTTACTTTAATGTCGTCTTCCAATTCTTTAGTTTTCTGGTTATCACTGTACTTAAATTATCTTTATTAAGACAATTTTAATTTTGATTTTTACCTAGGATATATGGATACAAATAAACATGGAAACAGCATAGAGAAACTTTCAATTAACAGCGTCTCTTTGTTGTTTTTTTCTAAACTTTCATTTTGTATAAACTTTGTTAGTTATCAAAACTGAAATAAAACAGTCGTTGTATTGATATAACTGCGGATCACTGTATTGGAATTTTTTAATCTTTCATTTTAGCTAGAAATTTTTATAATTATTATTATTAACAAAATTAAATCTGATGTTTGTTAATATTAGGAGTAGTTGGTCCAGGACAGACTGCCCCCGCCATGGGGTTCAACCCTCTAGTAGAGTGTATGGAGATGGGAGAAGGTAAATACCCGGTTTTATTTTCAAGAATTTTTTGCGTATTTTTGGTTGAATGATTTTAGAACCAGTTTACTTATTATCAACAATATTTCGCGTATTTTTGGTTGAATGATTTTAGAAAAAAGGTTTGGGTTCTGAAGTACAGGGCATTTTCTTTCTTATGTTGCTTATCATACTCATATTAGTGGCAATCTTTCCCGTATTTTTGGTTAAATAATTGTAGAAACGAGTTTAATGACACTCATGTTAGTTGTAATTAGTGATATGCATCAAAGGGACAGACCGGCTATGTAAGGTAGTTGAACTAAGTAAGCAGTGTTGTGGACAAATTCTTTAGGATTTATTGGAGACATATAAAACTTTTTAAAGATCTGTAAATCTTGAGTTTGAGCGCAAAGTATAACCATCTAATTAATTTACTGTATAATTTTTACTTTATTTTTCGTCGCCGTTATCTAATAATTTTAAAAAACCCGAGTCCGACTATGCACTCAAACTCAGTTATCATACATTGTGGAAACGTTTTATATGTCTCAAATGAATCATAAAGAATTTTTCCACAACACTTCATATTCAGTTTAACTACCTTACATATCCGGTCACTCCCTTTAAGTTGGTCCGTTTTGTTTATCGCTTTGTCTTTATTTTCTTTTAGGGTCAAAACGTGGCAAACTGGAATAAAAGCAAACTTTTTATAGATGTTAATTCTAAACATTTGCAAAAAAAAATGTATATGAAAATAAACTAAACATAGAACAGCACTAGTTGTAATCTTTCAAATTTTTTGGTTGACTCAAAAGCGATTTGGTAAAAAAAATTGGATATACAGTTTAGGTTTTTCCCCCACCCTGAGTTAAGATCCCCCCCCCCTCCCCCCTTCATCTGATATCGTGCACAATTTCTTCTCTCAATAAGAAATTGGATTTGTCCAATTGACAAGATTTTGTTGGATTTCTCAAATGAACTGGATTCTCTGTACAAAGTGCAACTGAACTAGTTTCTTTATTTCAAGTTTTCTTCTAATTTATAATTGTTATTTTTTTATATAAATTAAAGCAATGTTTTTTTTTCTTCGTCATCTAGACAGCCGGCCACAGATCTTTGTTATTCTATCTGTTTCTTGAGAGTGGCGCATTTTAATCTAAAATTGCAAGAAATTTAAAAATGCTTAATGGTTTTTTTTTTAAATATTTGAACAATTTAATACGGGTTTTTAGCTGGTGTCTTTTTCTTGATATATTTGGCCCAAGTTTTTTTTTTGTGCCAATTGATGGATGTAATTTAGTATTAAAGGGATTGATTTGGGATGTATATGTATTGCGGTAACCCGTCCACAGACTGATGATGAAGGATTCTTCTATGGCCAACTACCGAAGTAGAACCGAACCTAACCATTTCAAAATTTGTAAATTGTAAATAGAGCAAATGTTTTCAAACTTTTGCTTTTCTTCCACCATCCCAAATTTGACATGACAGAAAATATTATATGCAAAAAAAAGAAGCAACAACGATCCTAAAACAAGCGTGTTATAACGATCGTTATTGGACCTTTTTTCATTTAGTTTTTTAGTAGACGAATATTTCAAAGTTCAATAAAAGAACACCATTTTGAAATCTTGCTTTTTTTAATGAACCAGATTTACAGCGGTACCAGTTAACTCTTTGTACGAATAAGATTGTATGAGATATCAATCATCTTCTCTTTAATGAACCAGATTTACAGCGGTACCAGTTAACTCTTTGTTCGAATAAGATTGTATGAGATATCAATCATCTTCTCTTTGAAACAAGATTTACAGCGGTGCCAGTTAACTCTTTGTTCGAATAAGATTGTATGAGATATCAATCATCTTCTCTTTGAAACCAGATTTACAGCGGTACCAGTTAACTCTTTGTTCGAATAAGATTGTATGAGATATCAATCATCTTCTCTTTGAAAGTTGATTTTTTTTCCATTTTGATTTCACCAAAAAGTGAATTGCGCAATTTCTGCTTCATAAACGGAGTAATTTTCAAAATGTAACATTTTTTAGGCTAGAACAAGTGCATTCCGTCTTGAAATGAAAGGTCACAAAGATGCTCACAGATAGAACCACAATTTGTAGTTAAAATAGAAGATGAGCGCGAAGCGACCTAAAAAGAGCCTAGTATTATAAATGTGAATAATTTTGTTTTAGAACAAATGGATCTGTAAGAGGCTGGTTGACAGATGGAAGATGGATGGCTTAGATTTTTTATGATAATTAATTCATTCATTAGATTAATTATTATTATCATTATTCAATCTGTTATTCTCACATAAATAGATAGAGTCGGAAGCTTATTCTTCTTTGGAAACTGGACTTAAGTTGTGTTTTCAATTCTTTTTGATCAACTTTAGACTTAAGTTTTTTCTTTTCAGGGGATCGAAAATAATGAAAACGTCAATATCTATTTATGTGCGGAAAAAAATATTTTTAGTTTAAATTTTTCGTTTAAACTCCTCATGGGTAAATTTATAAGTCTGATAATTTAAAGTATTTCAGCAATTATTAAATTATTTTCTTAATATTCTAAAATCCCATTTTTGTATTCCTAGCCATGTGCCTCTTTTATCCATTGATTTGTGATATTATGCCTATATTGTGTTTGTACGAAACGTATTTCCTCCCAATTTTTTGTATAATTTTTACATAACGCGAGTTTGTTAAACTTTTCTTGGTTACTTCATATTATCAAAAACATTGGTTTTGGGATCTTATGCACATTCAAAAATAATCTTTTTAAATATTGGTAATAGAACATTTTTATATGATTTCTTTGGGTTTCTTTTAGTAAATTGTATTTGGGACTTATCTTTTTAATTCAATTCCAATTTGTGCATTTGAAAAGTTTTTTTTTATAATTGTTTGGCGTGAGGTTAGTTTATTGCTTCTTAACTCATTGCCGCCAGCACACTCTAGCGGTGAGTTATAAAACTTATGAACACAACTAACCCCCTCCAGCGAGATATGTTCCTCCGTTTTCTGCTCTATCTTTCATCGTACGCAATATTTCCCAGTATAGTGTAAACACGGTTAAACCTCTTAATGTGTATTTGCACATAGTTGTAATTGTACATGTTGTTGATATGTATGTACACAATGTACGTTTTGTACAGTTGCGAAGTGTACACAATTGTTAAATGTGTTCATTTTCCGGTTTTGTCACCGTACTGTACTGTACTCTACCTTACTGTACAGTGAGTACACCATACTACCCTAACTCAATGTACCAATATATAATTACCAACAAAAAGATGGCAAATTAATGGAATATGAAATATTTCTATTCTTTTGCTCCATCTATGCAAATTAAAGGCTTTTACTCTCAAATATCCTGACCGCGTCGACAAGTGCCTTCTTTGTGAATTATTATTCAGGATTTTCCCAATTCAAGTATCCGTTCATTGTACATTGTTATATTATATACATTCATTGTATTATTGTACATGCAACCATTTTTGTTATTTTTTAATTTTTTAATGTAAATACTGTGAATTTTTGTATGGGGAATAAAGTTTTCTAAAGAAAATTAATTGAATTAATCTTGAAAATAATTTTTCAGGGTCCATTTTTATGTTGATGCGAATCAATCTGGATCCAATTAATGAATTTTTAATCCGGAACTGTGAAATTAAGAATGCCATGCAATCCGGATCTTTAGCATTCTATTCAAATTTGTACATTTTCCAGAATTATGCATGTCGACAATTTGTATATTAACTTGTTTGGTTTATTTGAGTTGCCACAAAAAGTTTTGACTGTTCTGACGATTTTTGGATAAAGACGTGAATACAAACCAGTAAAATAAGAAAATATTAATAAACTAGTTTGGATTATTTTGAAACACCGATCAACCCTTGTCCTTCCTGATTGAATTATTCAAATCCACTAAAAAATAAACGCGAAATTAGGTATCACACACGAAGCTTGAAAGTGGAGAATTTTGAGCGTTAAAAAACCGTTCTTAAGTTCGAGAGAAGAAATAGTACGAGGTAAAGGGTGTCCCACGAAACATGACAGTTGGTAAATAGTTTTGAATGTCGTCTTTCATATGCTGTTTTAAATACTGAAGGCTTTTTGCAGCTTATTTTGTTAAAACATTCTTATACTCAAATATAATTTACTTTGAAATAAATTTCACTGTAATATGACTGCTATGTGATTTTTTCCTTATTGTCCATAGTGTCAAACAACTTAACAAATTACGAGAGACGACAGCCTATATAATCATGACAATGGTACCATTTAAACCTATAATATTAAAGATTATTATTTGCTCAGTTTTGGATCTACAGGGTTACCCACAGAGGATGAGACTTGCAGTGAAGACGACCTGAAACTCATTAAACAAGATGAGACTACTGTAAAGACGGTCTGAAACTCATTAAATATGAGGATTCCAAGGTTAAATTTAGTCTTTTGACTTGAATACAATTTTGTTATAGATTAATTAAAGAATATACAAAAAGAGAAACAAGTGTGCAAAGGGTAGGAATGATAATTGTAAGGCAAGAGACAGTAATAATACCAGAAGTCTCATCCTTTGTGGGAAACCCTGTGTGTGCCACAGAGACAGCTAGAAGTAAGTTCAGTGATTTTACATTTTTTCCAGATAGTAATTCCCGTTCGTTACATCTGCGTTATTAATATGAATTTCACAATTTTGTATAATTTTACAAATATTTTTGCACACTGTACACTGTACAGTGACATTATCTTATCTTTGGTTGAATTAGCAAACTCCAATTCTGCGACACAATTATATATTATATATTTTGAAGAAAAAAATATCTAGAAAGTTTTACAAATTTTTAAAATTACAGAATTACATTTAACCTAGCATCTGAATAAAATAAGTAAAATTGTATTAAAATAACGGTAATGTTGATCCGCTCTACTGCCAATCCGTCCTATATTGCCCATCCGACCTAATGCAACACCTGACCTACGACAACTGTAGGTCTGATGGGCATTTTTCGATTGGATGGGCATTTTTCGTAGCTCGGTTGGACACTTTTCGTAGGTCGGATGGGCATTTTCCGTAGGTCGGATGGGCATATTTCGTAGGTTGGATGGGCATATTTCGTATGTCGGATGGTCACTTTTTGCAGGGGGGCCGAGCGCTGCAGCCAGGAAAGACCTTTAATTTTAACAATTTTTAATAAAATTAGTGTATATTTAAGGTTAGGTTAGGTTAAGCTCATTTCTGGGCCGAGCACTGCGGCTTAAGACAGGTTAGGGGGCCGAGCGCTGCCGCCACATGTCTGGGCCGACCTACGAAAAATGCCCATCTGACCTACGAAAAATGCCCATCCGACCTACGAAAAGTGCCCATTCGACCTACGAAAAATGCCCATCCGACCTACGAAAAAATGCCCATCCGACCTACGAAAAATTCCCATCCGACCTACGAAAAGTGCCCATCCGACCTACATAAAATGCCCATCCGACCTACGAAAAAGGCCCATCAGACCTACTAACGTGTCCAAGCGACAGCTTAAAGTAGGTCGGATGGGCATTTTGTGTATGGGTCGGCCGGGCACTTGGCCCTATATGACAAGAATTCTGGAATCTTCCCCCTCCCCCCACCATGAGGCCCTCAAATACTCCCAAAATAATTATTTTAATCATTTATATTTTTGTAGATCACCGCTCCACTGTACTGTTACTGTGTAAGTGCGCAGCACCTCTTAAAATTGCCGCGTGTTGATCTCGTTTTCGCAAAATTCTTCGGCTTTTCTGAAAACTTTGAATGAAACCTAAAAATCAAAATAAAAGTTATGAAATTTTAATTGAAGAAAATCAAAGTAAAGATTAGCTTCCTCTGGGATATCTTCGTTTTCAGATTGGTTGCTGTTTTTCTGAACATGGCCTGTTTAAACCTACTATTTCTATACGAAATTGTATATATATGCATTTTCGTACAAGTTTGAAACAGCTTTATATCAATTCTCGAGTCAGGAACTTCAGATAGGCGTCTCAAGGGTATAGACTGAAAGCTAAAGTGATTAGCTTTCAGCCTATACCCCCTTTCATTTTTCCTTTACAGTCCCTTTAAGTCGTCTTTACAGTCTCATCCTTTCTGAGTAACCCTGCACAAAATTTTTGAGTCCACACATTTTTCTTTACAGTTTTATAATACTTTTTTTTTGAACTTTACTTTATCTACAGGTCTGTAATAAACAAACAGAATGTTATAAAATGATGAAAATAAAAAATGTTTGTTGTTTAAATACAGTGTACAGTATTATCTCTGATCCTGTTATCTAAGGTATAAAATAGCTTCAGATAATCAGAGAATTTAGTGTTGAGGATACTCAGGATACTCATCAATATGAAAACAGGTATTACAATTTTAAATAAATTAGCTTTCAAAAGGCATTACAAAAATATTTTAATATTCCAAAATTGTAAAAAGTATGTTCTTATTACACTACAATTTCTCTTTGGTAAAAAAAAAATTTAAAAAGCGAATTTACAATTGTTTTTAATGGATTCACAAAATTTTACGAAAAATAATTTTTTTGAGACAATCTTTTTAAATTCTGAGCATTCATAAACATTCACTGTGAGGTCACACACAAATTTTGGGCCCGATCGGTTCATGCCGTTTTTACGTTTTTTGGACACAAACAAACATACAGACAGTCAAGCAAAGTATATATATATATATATAGAGGTAGAATTTCCACTCTACAAGAACATTTATGATTTAAGGCAAAACCAGGTCATAAACTTACAGTATTTGAAGCATTCGTTCGCCAGCCTATTTTACATGTATGATTATTATAACAATAATCACAAAATTCCCCTGGTCCTGGGATTTGCAAAATGTGGTCAGCTTTTCTTATGCTGTCAGTAATACCTGAGATATTAAGAATTTTGTTGAGATAAAATATATTTTTAAAATCAAACCAGAAATGTCGAAATTCTTGAAATATCCTTTTGTTTATTAAAATCCAGGAACCAATTAAACTTTAGGTCGCAAAGATGTAATATACAATCAATCTAACATTATAGCATGATGATTACTTTATATTGAAATTCACCAGGAAATGAGCATGAATGATAAAGGACACAATAGGACATATCTGTTTTCAGCGTGGTTGATTGTTGTGCTGGCAGCTCTTGCTGTGCCTATCTTTGGCAAGAACTTTGGTTCTATTGAGGTCAAGGGGGTGGGAACTGTTTATGTTCTTGGGCCAGACTGGACTGCTGGGAACGTTGAGGTACATACAGTACATAAACAGTACAGTACATACAGTTTATAGTTCAGAACATACAGTTTTACAGTTAAGTGCATAAAGTTTACAGTGCAGTAAATGCACAGTGCAGTACATAAAGTTTACAGTACAGTGCATATATTAAGACTTTACTTGTACATCTACAGTGCACATAAACTTGTACATTATCCTCCATTTCAGGAGGCACTCATGTTTTATTGTTGAATGAATGACATCTAAATGTTTAGTAGTTTTTCATACATTATCATACTTTATCATTATCTCATTTAATGGTGTTTTGATGCTTCCAAATGTATTAATAATGTTAAGATGCTTCCTAACTGATTTTTATTGTTTAGATGCTTCTTAAGGAATTCTAAAATGCTTCTTTATGAATTTTATTATGTTTAGATGCTTTTGATGGATTTTAAGATGCTCTCTTGTAGATTTTATAATGTTGAAATGCTTCCGAATGGAACTTTTCATGTTTTGATGCTTCCTAATTGATTTCATAATGAGTAGATTCTTCCTAGCCATAGTGTTTATATGCTTCCTTATGAATTCTAAAATGCTTCCTAATTGAATTCATAATGTTAATTGCTTCCTAAATTTTTAATTGATGTATAATTTATAACGTTTAAATGCTATACTAACAGATTTAATAATGTTAAGATGTTTACAAATAAAATTATAATGTTGAGATGCTTCCTAATGGATTTTATAATGTTTTATAATAATTATTTTATTAATGTTTTATAATGCTTCCTAATAAATTTATAATGTTCTGATGCTTTCTAAAGGATTTTGTAAGGTTCTGACGCTACTTAATGGATTTTAAAATGTTCCGATGCTTCCTAATGGATTTTATAATGTTCTGATGCTTCCTAATGGATTTTGTAAGGTTCTGATGTTTCCTAATGGATTTTATAATGTTCAGATGCTTCCTAATGGATTTTATAATGTTCTGATGCTTTCTAAAGGATTTTGTAAGGTTCTGATGCTACCTAATGGATTTTAAAATGTTCTGATGCTTTCTAATGGATTTTATAATGTTCTGATGCTTTCTAAAGGATTTTGTAAGGTTCTGATGATACTTAATGGATTTTAAATGTTTAGATGCTTCCGAATGGATTTGCGTTGAACGGTGGAGGTCGTGTTTATCTTGGAAGTCAACCTAATGATGGCATGGACCCTAACATGTATTGGCAGGTACACATTACAAGTTTCGTAAAATTTACCTATAATATAATATGGACAAATTACATAAAATTTTGTTAATTTACTTACCATTGATGACTTATATAATTTAGTAAATAGGGTAATGGAAACGATGTTTAGAGTCCATTTTAATTGATTTTAAAATCAAACAATTTTGGCGCTGACATCAGTTTTCTAATTTTAGCGCTGACATCAGTTTTCTAATTTTAGCGCTGACATCAGTTTTCTAATTTTAGCGCTGACATCAGTTTTCTAATTTTAGCGCTGACATCAGTTTTCTAATTTTAGCGCTGACATCAGTTTTCTAATTTTAGCGCTGACATCAGTTTTCTAATTTTAGCGCTGACATCAGTTTTCTGATTTTAGCGCTGACATCAGTTTTCTGAAAACTATAATTGAATCAAGTTAATTTTCTAAATACAAACAATATGCATTATTTTTATACCTTTCTCCTCACATGGAAACCAGTTGCAATCTAAAAAAGATATTGTTTAATTTTTTCCCCTTTTTCCCATAATTTTTTTTTTTTAGACACCCCTGATGGAAAAGCACTTCGCATACACTCTTGATCTTTCCAGGTACATTATTCAAATTCTAATAATAAATTGTAAAAAAGTTTTTTTCATGTGTTTTTATTTTAAATTTTTTATGCAAAAATAAAACTTTTACGCTGTTATCAGCAAATTAATGTTTTTACATGAAAGAAACACTTATTGTTATCTTTTTGCATAAAAAGAAGCCTATCACACGTAATCTCTTTTTTTTTAATCAACTTCATCAGAAATAAGGTTTACAATTGAAAGATGAAAAATTTAAAATATGAAAGAAAAAAAATTTCCCGTGAAATTTACAGAAAAATATAGAATATTGATTTCGCTTAGAAAACTTTTAAAGATTTTAATTTTAGATATAAAGAATATTAAATATAGAATGTTATGTGCAATGTTCATGTCCATGTACCTCACTGAAAGCTCTGGTTCATTTGAAGTACTGCAATTAACTGACTTTTATGTAGCAATCTTCAATAGACTGACTTTTATTTAGCAATCTTCAATAGACTGACTTTTGTGTAGCAATCTTCAATAGACTGACTTTTGTGTAGCAATCTTCAATAGACTGACTTTTGTGTAGCAATAACAGTTGTATAGTATACACATACTATTGTGAAGTTTCATGCAAAGATATAAACGCCCGATTTCCAATTATTCTCATTAAACTTAATCTGATTAAAAATATGGAAGATAGTGTCCATTTCCATTGTTTCTTATAAGCAATAAATGCACAAGAGAAACCACAAATAAAAAAAATTAAAGACAAAAACATGGATATATCCAATTCATATACTGTCATTTGATATATCTAATTCATACTTTATCAGATAAAAGTTTTAAGGGTAACTTTGTAGATTGGGCATTGCTATCTCTGCATGAGGGGTCACCTGAAATGAGATTTTAAAAGCTTAAACCGAAGTAAAACCCAAACTCGGGCTTAGATAGAACCCAAGTCAGGATTGGTTCTAATTCGACCAATGAGAGACTGTTTTGCAAGCTTTCTCTCTGTAACAGACAGAATGCCGTCAGATCAGCTGTGACAAAGAAGATGTAAATTTCAAAAATTCAAAGTTTATGTAGATACATTTTTTTTGATAGTATGTTTATTTTATATATTTAATAAAATTTGACACCACAAATAATTCCTGAGATTTTAAATGTACAAACATAAAAGATTTTACAAAATTTACGATCATCAGCTGCTAAAGACTCGAGCCTTAAAGAGAGAAAACCCCAAGATGGTTGGTTCTTACTAAACTCAAGGCCATCCAAAACCCGGGTCTTGACTTGAGCTTTACTTGGGTCTAAGCAGACGCAAAGACCAGGTTTTACTCGGGTTTAAGCTTTTAAAATCTTATCTCTGAAAATACTCTCTCAGTTCCTTTAATGTGATTTCTATGATTAGGGTTGGCTGTCACTGTAATGCTGCCGGATACTTTATTAATATGCCGGGACCTGCTGGTGGAGATGGAGGAGATTACTACTGTGATGCCAACTACGTTGGCAGTCAATGGTAATTTTTCCACTAGTCACTTGACTTGTTGACATTTTGATAATATCATGTCTTATACAGCTTGAATCAGAAAAGTCTGGAATGTGCCCTGCAATCATTTTTAATTTATTTACCTGACATCTTTGCAACCGAACCTTAGTCAGTTTAAATGTTTCCTGTGGCCGAATTTAAAGAACTTGAGCGGCGGTTTAAATTTAAGTCCCGGTTTAAATATGGTTGGTTCCACTTTAAATTGTATCAAATGTTTCAAGATTTAAGCCGGCGCTGAATTTAAACCGGGTTTTGGCGGATTTAAACCGCGGCTCAAATTCTTTAAATTCCATCTCTGGGTGAATACGACATATAGACACTGCAATTAAGCAGTAGAAACAGACCCATTTTAATCAAGTAAAACTATTTGCTGTGTAACAACATCAAATTATACACATTAGCATTGCTTCAATGTTGTCTTCCTAATCCACAGTTTCCTGGTTCTCATTGTACAATTAGATTATGAATACTAGAAGCATTTGCTTTTTCAATGCTCTGTAATTCTAGCCTTTTTTTAATCAATGCTTTTTTATTTATTGGCATTTTGTTATTTGATGCTATTTTTAGCGCTATGTTATTTGAAGCTTTGAACCAATCCTTTCATTTACTTTTTCATTAATCAAAAGCAAAGATTTGAGAGCATTTCATAAGTTTATTCAATCGACTTAACCTTAAGGTCCTAGATTTGTAATTGCTGACTCTCTAGCTCTAATATATTGTGTTGTAAAGGTGCCCTGAGTATGACACCTTGGAGTCTAACAAGTACACTGTGGCTGGAACCCTTCACACATGTCAAGGAAGCCCTGGCAACTGGTATGACTGTGACCGTGGAGGCTGCCAGAACAATGCCTTCTACGTAGACTCCAACATGTACTGCCCAGAGGATAGGTGAGGAAGTACAAAATACTGAAAAGTCCTCTATAACTTAAAAAGATCAGAAATGAGATTTTTTAAACCACAGGTCTTAGGTTGACTTCTGATTGGTTCTGATTGATTCGATCAATGAGAGACTGCTAACAGAAAGCTCTCTCTGCATGAGCAGACGGATCAGCTGTGACAAGGTCCAGATTTACAGATGTAAACTTCGAAATCTTGATGTGTGTAAATTATTTTCATAGTGTGTTCATTTCATAAATTTTGACACTACAAATAATTCCTGAGATTATAATTCAAAAATAGTTTTAACAATATTTACTGCCTCTGGATTCACTTAGGACTAAGTCTAAGAAGATATAAACTACAGGTCGTTTTTTTCAAAAACCAAACATAACCAAAACTTGAGTCTTTACTTGACCTTTACTTGGGCACTAAAAGATGCTAACTCCGGATTTTTTTGAGTTAAGGCTTTAAAAGTCTCAACTCTGGTGTATATCTGTATTTTCAATGGGGAATCTGTTCCACACCAATTTTACTAAGAGCTCAATATTATAGCATATATCTTTCCATAATACTGGACTTTTACCTCCTGCTGCTTCCTCCCCAATAAACTTTCCATTGTCCCGACAGAGGCTCTTCTCATCTTCATTTGGATGGATCAGAATTTTTTCTCATTGAGCATGCGCTTTGTTTTTCAGTAAATATGATCTCTTTAATTTTCAGGTGCACAATCAACACAAACAAGCCATTTATTGTATCCCACTACCAGACCAACCAGATAGCTAACATTTGGATGAGTCAAGAGGGTAGAACAGCAGACTTTAACTTCTGTTCTGATGCTGGTTATGCCGCAAAGATGGCTGAATCTTACGGTGGGATGGTCTTCTCCGCTTCACTTTGGGGTAAATATTTCTAACCATTTATTTCATATTCTCTAATTCTCATTAACATTTGGATCCGTTCTCTTCCTAACTATAGCATATACTTTTTTCTTAGATCCTCTTCATGACTATCTACATTTTAAATATTTTTAATGATAGTTGATAGGTATTGATAGTTTAAATGATTGGCATCTTTTAAAAGAGTTAAATAATCACTTAAGTCTGTCTCCATTTTGTTGTTACGTCTTGCTGAAGCGCTTACTTTCACATACGCTATCCTTCCAGCGCCCTTAAATATATATCATATAAATAGCTGGGAATGAATCAAATACTTAAATTAAGAAACATCCTGATGTTTGGACCCCGCATGATTCCATTTAGCTTTGAGAATCCGTTTTTGTGCAAGTTGGTGAATTTATATTCTTTTCTTTATTCCAGGTGGAAATGGCATCAATATGGACTGGTTGGATGGTATGACAGGCTGCTGGGAACAATGCGATATTGCCAATTCCAGAGTTGTCTTTACTGACTTTGAACTCTGGTAGGAGGGAAGGATGGCTAACTTGAACTCTGGTAGGAGGGAGGGATGGCTAACTGCATCAACATCTCTTCTGTACCACACAAATTTCTGTTCCAACACTACTTTTCTTACTTTCTAATGAATAAAAATATTTGGCAGTGGACTTTTTTTTACCTACCAAGACATATTTTTATGTATGAAACAATTAAAGCATTTAAAAAATAATTGAATTTTTTCTCAATGTGAACATTTTTCATTAGTTTTTATGGGGATTTCAGTTTACATTGTAAAACAGAAAAGGAAAAAAAGGATGAAACCAATTTTTTGGCTTTACTTCTTACCATATCTAAATTTGTATACCTTAAACTTATTTTAGAAAAAAATTGAAGTTTAAGAGTTTTTATTTCGGAATTAAAGAGATTATATTATAAAACGGATAGATAGATCGATAGATAGATCAATAGATAGACAGGAAGATAGATAAATAGAAAGACAGATAGACAGATAGATAACAAGCTCTGTTGCCGTGCTGCTGCCTGAGATGAACATCTGATGAAACTCTGGTTTCTGTGCATGTGGCCTAACCCGGGGCCGTTCATAAATTACAAAACTATTTGATCAAAAAATATCTATTTTTATTATAATCTGAATTTACATATTTTTAATGTGTTTCAGTTATTTTTCATGATAAATCAAAATGAAAATTTCTAAGAATGAAACGTAATTTTTGAACTTTCGGCGCGTAATTTCATTGTGTATTGCGTATTTTCACTAGACTCCAAGAAAGGGTCTGATAGTTCTTAGTCTACCGTAACAAACACTTATACGTAATATAAAGTGATTATTTAGTAACAATGGTAGTGATGTAAACAAACCTTTTTGACTTAAAATAAAGATAGTGAATCTTAAGTCATAATAAGTTTTGACTTTTTATCATGTTAAAATTAATAAAGTAATCTCTAAACGTATCTATCTTAAAATCTACATTTTTGGTTCTAAATGTATGGCATCTAAACGATTTAAAACTATAGAACTAGAGTAAATTTAAGAATGTTTATACTAGAAAAAGTGATTTACTTTGGAAAAAATTGTATTATTTTCGACATATACTTTTTTAAGTTATACTTTTTCAGCAAAGAGACATATATAACTCACTTTTCATTGTAGAAATATATATAACTCATTTTTCATTGTAGAAATATATATAACTCACTTTTCATTGCAGAAATATATATAACTCACTTTTCATTGCAGAAATATATATAACTCACT